AGTGTTAACTTTATTTGCCAAAACATGTTTTCTTTTTTTGAGCTGTCGGTTGTTGTATTAAAATAAATGGAATCTAAAAATCTCATTATTTTTATTGTTTAAAGCCAGCATTGGGTGCAGTTCTGGGGTCAGATGGCAAGTATACTAATTTACCCCTGTGCTGCTGCACTTAGAATCTTCAATCTCCTATGACTTTGACATGATGACTGGCTGTGTTTCTTAATTTTGCTGCAAAGATTTTGCTGGAGGGCTGTGCATCTCTTAATAATGTGCATGAAGGCACAGACAAGGAAGTAAATGAATATTGTATGAGGTTCTTTTCCTACATGAGGGTCTGCCTGGGTGAAGATCTGCAGAGGTCCAAGAGCCTGCATCTCGTGGCAGGAATGGGACCATGATGATGATAGCCAAAATGAATGCACACTATTGAGCTCAACGCACTTACAGCAGTTAACTATTCTCACTTCTCAGCCAGATCAGACAGGGAGCAATGTCCTTCCTGCTATGTTTGCTCCTTTGTTGGGTCCACTGGCTATTTTGGTGCCAGTGGAGAGCTGTGACGTTCAGCAGGAGAACTGTTACTGAGAAGCAAAGTCAGGTTGGATGGAGCCCTGGCAGCCTGATCTGTGCTGTGAGCCCTGCCCAAGGCAGGAGGTTGGAGCTCAGTGATCTTTAAGGTCCTTTCCGACCCAATATTTTAATTTAGTCTTGGTAGTTATTTATATTCTGCTTTTACAATGACAGATCTATTGTTTATTTTTTTAATGCGTGTTTGTATGATTGTTGGATTTTATCTGCATGTTCTGTGGTCATCAATGCAGTGTCACAAGCATGAAGTCCATGAAGGCAGTGCATCTGCTTGCAATTATGTTGCATTTTAATGATCTTTGCAAAGTAAAATCTGTAGTTTAATCCTATGTGATGGTACATGGGCTGTGCATTTTCTTATCGCAGTGCGGAGGCTAGAAGCCAGCAGTCTGTGCTGTATTTGAAGAACTGCCTCACGTGCAAGTGGGAATTGCTGCAGTTTTAGAAGGAAGGGTCCCAAAATTCCTTTTAGGAAACGTCTGTGTCACTGTAGTAAGTTAAGTGAAATGGAGTCGAGGCTAATACTGCCAAAAGTAAAAGAATATTTGCATCTGCAGGAGTTCTGAAAGATACCCAGAGATTTTAAGCCATCACATTTGATTTTGCAAACATGAATTTTCAAATCTCTCCTTCCAAAATCTGTTGGAACTACACAAGAAGAGATCGCACAAACACTACTGCAGTTCTTCACTTGCCGCAGTACCTCTTTGCAGCAGAATGAGGGCCTCAGTTCTGTATGTCTGGGTAATTTAACACTTTTTAGTTTCCTGATGTATTCATTACTGTTTTCTTCTAGATAAGAACTACTTAAGACATAAAATATTAGCTTATATTAAAATTCTAGGTGATTGGCTTGCAAATTCGTTTGGGATTTCATTAGGAAAATTGTAGTTGATGCTAATGTGCATGAACAGCTACAGCTGGAATCTGTAGTTACAGATCATCACTGGCATCATATTTTGTTCTTTACTTTTTTTCTCATTAAAGCTAGCATTCAAACACTTACAACATCAAAGTCTCTCTTCATATTATTCATTCTTGCAGAAGTCTCACATCATGCAGTAGAATGATCAGAAAGGTATTTCTCTTTAGATGTGGTAAATCAGTCTCATTGTGTCCTTCTGGAGAAGTGATTGGGAATGATTTCATGGTTATCCACTTTAATATTTTATTGTCTTGAGTCTAAGCTTTATTAAAGTTCGGAAACTTTTAAGCTGATATTCAGTCACCATCTCCTCATCTTACTTCTACCCAAAAGTAACGTCTTTCATTGATCACCTTCTGCAGACTCTAAAAATCAAATTCTACAGAAAACATCTCGTGAAATAATTGAAAGTCCATAACTCTGAGTATCTGAGTATGTATCCTCCTCACCTGGAACTGAACCCCAGAAGGCATAGTAATTCCAAAGCTGCTGCTGTACATAAGGTACTTTGCAGGAGAGTCTGATATGGTTATCTGAAGTGACTTTTTCTGCCCGCTTTTGGGGAAGAATTGAAATCTGTACCTGTTGAGGTTAAGATCTTCCCTAGCTCTAAATGAACTTGGGGTCAAGCTGAGTTGTATTGCCACTACTAGTTCTATTCTGGGCCTGCAGGTAAGACTACGGCTGCAGGACTGGTGCTTTGCTAAAGGTTCTTTTCAAAATCTTTTAGTTCTTTATTATTTAAAGTGAAATTTACTGTCTCTCACCTCAGTAGCTAAGCACAGCAGGACTGTAAATGCAGAAGCAATTGTTTCCCTCTATACAAATATCTCCATGCCAAGCTGGCATGTACTGCAGTAATCAAGGGTCAACAGAAGCAAGATCAGTATTCTGGAAGAGCAAGCAGAGTTTCAGAGAGAGACAGAGAAGAGCAAGGTGGTGGTGGTGGTTTTTCTCCTGTTATCATTGATTATTAGCTTTAACTACTTGGCAGTCCAGTAACAGCTGAGGAGTGCCCCAAGGCAACAGACCATCTTTACTACATGAGGGGAGAAGCCTCTGTCAGGTATCTTTTTTACAATGTTTTGTTTTAGAATCTTCACCTGTGGCGACTTCACATCAGTCAGCTGTTCTTCATCCAGATGCCTATTTTGACTGAGGACAGTGAAAGCAGAGCGTGATCAAGTATTGACTGCCATTCAAATACATAGGATCTTGGTGTTTCTTTCTAGAAGCTTCCTATTCATCTTGGTTGGGATGAGTGAAAACATGAGCCTTATGGAGACGAGTAGGAGTAAAAATCAATGAGTGAGAATAATAGCCTGGTAGAGAGAGAGAGAGAGAGAGAGAGAGAGAGAGAGAGCGAGCTGGATTTGCAATTTGGAATGGGATCCCAGATTTGCCTCTGGCTTGTTGCATTGATCTGGGGCAAATTACCAGTGCCTTTCCATGTTTCCCATTTGTAGGATGGGTCAGCAATCAGAGTTGATTAGTATGTTTTCAACAAAAGTCTTTTCATTGAAACCTAGATGTTGCATATACTGATTTTTCTTCTGGCAACACAGGCCTTTCTGAGAAAAAATAGGAACCTGACCCTTACGAGCAGGTAACAATGGTTTCAACTCACTGCTGTCTCTGTGAGAATATTTCAAAGCTTTCTGGCTTTGTTCCAGTGCAATAAGAAAACATGTTTTCTGAGCTTGAAAGTTTTCCAAAACAGTACTGCCATCCTTCAGTCAGCTCTAATAGTACGTTGTTTGTAAATTGCTTTGAGCTCCTTGACTGAACAGAGATCTATAAGAGCCAGCAATTATTTGAATGGCGTTAGGTAAGGTTGCAGCCATGTAAGTATGCTCACGCGTACTTCTGTATATGCTGTAGGCTATTTTAAGTGACCATTTAAAAACATTTGCTTAGTGAAAGAAAATTTTGACCCAAATCACATCACAAATAAAATCCTATCTTTGAAAGAGCCCATTTAAAACTGCAGTGATGTGAAAGTAAACATCAACTGGTAACTGTGATAGTGGAAAGTGGTTTTCAGCTTTGGGGATAAACTACAAGCAGATGAGTTAGAATCCAAACTGAATTCTTCTGGGCAACTTGGAGTTTATAATCTAAAACTGAGCTAACAGTTTCTTGACTATATCAAGACCAGCAGGTGTTGCTATAATATATTAAATGCTGTGGAGGTACCTAACAAGCTGCACTCCAGCGTTAGTTCAGTAAGCATTCAAATTGGTGTTTTCCAGCAAAGTGTAATGCTATGGCAGGCTTGTGATAGCAATAGTACTAAAAGTATCAAAACAGTAGAAAATTGCAGATTCAGAGCTACTTCTGCTGAGCTGACTGTGAGTTTCAATATGGCTACAGGGGAACGACATCTCGCCCTGGATTTACATATTGAGACTTCAGTGTATCGAAGAGTACAGAACTGTAGAAAGTAACCATCCTTTATAGACCTCTGTAGAAACGTAACTACTGGTGAGAAACGTTCCTGCAGAAACTCTGAATGGGATGGGGTACAAAGAGAACCATAGTGAGCAATAATGCAGAAACTGCCAGTCTGAAAGGGCTCAACTACCTCGTGTCCACAGGTCGCTGGCTAAGTGATCTGGATAGTCCTTCATAGTCGTTGTGTGTGTGTTTACTGATCAGGGCCTAGGCTGCTTCTCTCCACTTGTATATGCTTGGCAAGAACTTCTTTTGCACATGGAAGCCATCCCAGACACTTCACTTCCAGGTAGAATCACAAGCCAAGGTTGCACTTAGGCTGCTGGGAAACCCATGGAGCTGAGAGCATTTGCAGCTCTCCCTCTTGCTGGAAGCATGTCAGCTTGATTCGATTCATTTCCAGCCACAAGACAGGTGGGTCATAGTCTAAACTCCAGGGGTGCAGCCATAGGCAAGAGAAGACTTGGTCCTGTACTTTCCCAGGAGCTGCCTGCAGTGTTGCTTGGGTAGGATATGGGCCCCCTAGGTGGACAGCAGAGAGAAAATGGCCACTGGTGGAGAAAACCACGCAACGCCCGTGGCTCACTCACCCATCCATCGCGCCGAAAGCCAGCGGCAGGGGAGCAGCGGGCGAGGCGGGGCGGCGCGGTCACGGCACGGCGGCTCCACCGTGTGCATGTAGATGAGATCCCCCGGAGCACGTCACTCCGCACCGGCGCTCTGCGTTTGGGGCGGCGGAGAGCGAGGGCGGGCGAGCGGGAGCCGCCGGCGGAGGAGAGGAGAGAAGAAGAGAGGAGAGGAGAGGAGGCGGCGGCTCGGCAGCGGGCAGCCAGCAACGGCTCCGCGGCGCCCCCGATGCCGCCCAGCCCAACGCCGCGCGGGCCCCGCGGGGCGAAGGCGGGCGCCGGCGGGCGGGGAGCGGCGCGGTGGTGCTGAAGGACAGCTCCGCTCGCATCCGCGCCCCGCCGCGCCCCGGCGCCGGGTGGCCGCGAGGCCGCCGCGCCTTGATGTGCCCCCAGCGCCCGCGGCTCCCATGGCGGTGGCACGGAAAATCAAAACTTTGTTGACGGTCAACATCTTGGTCTTCGTGGGGATCATCCTCTTCTCCGTCTACTGCAGGATCCAGGATCGTTCCCAGGAGCTGGTGCAGATTGTCCGGAGCGCGGACCGACGTGTCAGGAGCCGAGGAGCTAAGGTGGGCAGCCTGGCTGACAGGGAGTCCATCCTGCAGCGCCTGGACCACCTGGAGGAAGTGGTCTACAACCAGCTAAATGGTACGGAGGGCTGGGGGGGAGCGCGGTGCTGGTCCCGTGGTGACCAGCTCTCCTGGGAGGGTGCTGTAGGCTGGGAAAATTGCCCGAAGTGCCTGCTTGCTGGGGAGGGAAACTGCACTGAAGCACTGCCCTGAAGCCAAAGATGCAGGGAAAGTGGTAGCTGCAGAGGTTTGTTGGAGGGGTGCGTGAGGGCACCCCCTCAAACTCTTGGGTCAAAGTCAGGACTTTTGAAGTAGAAAGTTAAGGAGGCTGCAGAGTTCATGGATGTAAGGGTTGGTGGATGTCCTGGTGAACTGTACCAGCTTTTGCAGTTGCCCTGAATATATCAACTCTGCGTGGGTATGTGTTTTTATGGCAAATACACTTTAAGTTTTTAGCTGCAAGTTGCATATTTGGTCTCCTAATTAAAAGCACTCTACCAAGTTCTTATGCTGTGTACTTTTAATAGTCATTTTAAGCATTGCTCCCATATGTTTCTTTAATGACTTTGCCATTTAAATTTTATATTATCTTTGGCGAGGAAAGGAAGCATCCACTAATTCCTTTTGTTACATTCAGTTTTAATTCGCTAGCCTTGAAAAATCTTGTTAGGTAAGCAAAGAACCCTTATGTGGTAGTTAGAACAGGCTAAGCCATACCGGTTGCCAAGGGACAGATAATGTTTCATATGGGAACTAATTCTTTCAAAGAGGTCTGTATCTGCATAGATTCATAAGGTTCTAAATGTGGGACATCAAAGAAATAAGTATGTGATTAAATACATCCATGCTTTCCACACGAAGCTGAAGGAGCAAACTTTACAAGAGATTTTAATATAAATGTGGCATTCAGTGTTGAGCACCAAATAAAACTTGCAGTGTAAATATTTTTAATGATACCAAATGTGCTTCTAGGCTGCTTCTGAAAGTCTTACTCATAATATTGATTTAACAAAGGCTACTGCAGTCTCAAAATGCAGACAATTAGTGTAAAGAATATATACTATTACTACTTTCTGAATGAATGACCCTGCAAATCCAAGCATGTTGGATGGTTACAGTAACACGCCGGTAGTGTCAGTGACTGTTACAGAACTGGCATCCCTCACACTTTCACATACGCATTCATGTGTGCAAAAAGAGAAGGGAGGACAGGAATGTGGAGTGGTGGGTGTTAGTCAAAAGTAAGCATTCATAAGTTAGAGGAGGAGAGTCAACAGAAGGAGTCAGCAGCTGTATTTTCTAATGATAATTCGGAGAAGTTTTGCAGAATGTAAGTTTTAAGAGAAAAATTCTCCTCCCACATTCAATATATCCATCATAGCGCAATCGAATGGTTTATTTTCCCTCTGAATTGTTTTGTTCTTGGTGGTGTTCACAAGTGAAATTTTGGGTAGGATTTTACCAGCTCTGGGTTCATCTCAGCATAGCAACCCCTGAAGGATCAGCAGGAGTCCATAACGTTCTAGGCAGGCATCGTTGCATGTAATGGCTGTGGCTTCAGAGTAAACAGAAAGTTCTCCATAAGCTGTTTCTCTGTTTTGGCGGCTGTTTTTAAAGTGTAATTACTTTAATTAAAATGTTACGTTGCTCCTTCAGGTTGTAAAAGCACTGTAGGCAATTTCTTGTTCTAGAAAGTTCTTATACAGAAAAATACAGGAAGTTAATCAAGCTGAGATGTTCAGATTTCCTGTCCATTTCCCTTCAGTCTCTCCCTGACGTGTCTTTTGTTTATTACACAGCAGTTTATCAATGCAGATGAACTATTTGGTTGTCACTGAGAAAAGATACTTTCTCAGTTTCATCCTTTCTTTAAGTATTTGCTCATTTTTCCATCTTGTGGTAACAACTCCCCAACTTCTTTGCAATTAGCAGGTAGCCAACTGAAATCATCAGAACTGCATCAATGTAAGTGACATCAATTATCAGTGTTTGGGTTTAGCTGAATGGTGTTGCTTTTTAATATCATGACTCATTATTTAATGGGCATAATGCTGCTCTGGAAGCATTGAAATTCAAGGCAGTCTGTCTGTGACAGTGCTCTGCTGTGTTTTACCCAAAGACTGGTGTTACACAAACGCTCAGAGCCGTGCCTTCCAGCCCAGTGTCGAGCAGGGTTTCTCAGATGCTATCCTGTGCAGTACTTCACTGCAAGTTAGAGTCATCTGGTGCCTTCTTGAATGTTCCCTCTTAATGAGGTGAGCCAAAGTCACTTTTATAGGACAGGCAGATTTTATTCATAAGGCATATGAATTCCTGCAAGCACCACGAGTTTGAGTCAAGTCCAGTGATCTTGTTGTGATAGATCTGTCCAGATCACAATGCCATTTTTTTTACTCCTTATTATTTCTTTTTTGAGATCAGCAGATGTACAGCCAAATATTACATATCCTACCTTTTTTGTAATCAAGTCTTAGTATTCTTTTATTTATTTGTTTTCTTCTATTCATCTAAATCCTAACCTGGTAGGACCTTGCCTGGTTTTTCAAGGGACGCTGTGAAGTTTCAGTGTAAAAGAAAAACCTTGGAGAGAACAGCCCTGCAGCTGCAACAATATGGAATTTTCTTTCTGTCATGCTTACTTATTTCCATGAAATCAAAGAAACATCATTTGAAAGTGCACTTTTCTGTGAGGAAAAACAAGGACAAGCAGTTATGCTGAAAGAGCATTTCTAGCATGAAAGAGTAATTTCTACTGATGAGTATCATTTATTGTCAGTCAACAGTGAACTAAAGCTTGGTAGACTTAGTAACCATTCTTGAAATGATGTGAAACTTCGGTATTTTGTTGCTTTGCCTTTTTTTTTTTTTTTTTTTTAAGGAAAAAAACCACCGAGATTTAATTGGCTGGTTTTTTTTTTCCCTAATCAGTTTTGCATCTAAGTCTGTTGCTAATGATTTATCATAGAAGATAAAGAATTTTTGATGCTCCAACTACATAATAACCTTTCATGCCAAAAGCAATTGAAGGGTCAGACTACAATTTCACTGTAATTGCCTTTTTCCCTTTTCACTGTCTCTTTCCAGTAATCCACAACAATCAATATAGCATGTAATTAAATTTCATTCAATCTGCAAAGATTAAGAGAGTTTTCATCTTCTCATTATGTATGCTCACATCATGTCTTCCTACCCACATCTTCTACATTAGACCTCTTCGACCTGTTCTGTTGCAGATGTGGAGGAATATGTCTGGAGTATTCCCTTGAATTTCACAGATTACCATTCTTTACACATCGTAATTTGATTTTGCTCTCTTTAGGAAGATTAAACACAACAGCAATTTCCAGTTTGATAAATGGGTTTTGTATTGCATATGCATTTCATTGAGGGGGCTGAGGGGGGAAAAAAGAAAGTGGACAATTCACATAATTGCAGCACATGGGCTTAAAATGATGGAAATAGCAGGTCCTAGGTATGGAGGACTGATTCAACGAGACTGACTCCTGATTTTTTGAGTGTACTGGAAGCAAAGTGATTGCATTTAAAATTCAGCCTGGCAATCTGCATACTTAAAAGGTACAGTAGTATTTTTAAAAAGGCCGTTTACCCTTCACAGGCTTGAGGCTGGTTGGAAATGGTTCCAAATTTCTATATTAAAAGTAAGAGTTGGGAACTGGCTGCAGTTGAATCGTGCGAATGTCCGCATCAGATTTGTCAAAAAGAAGCATTTATTGCTGGCAACTTTCAGTTCAGTTGCTGAAAAGAGGGGGAAAGCCAGGTGTGCATGGGGATAGATTAAGTGCGACTGCCAGCCTTGCATTAATGAAAGCACACCTTCTCTTACCCAACACAAGTTCTCATAAATGCTCGATTTCATTATGAGCCAATGCTAACATGCATCTGACCAAATTAACACATAGTAATTTCCACACTTATTTGTGTAGAATAATCATTTGTAATTTGTAATACATAATCAGATAAAAGCAGTGTTTACTGATGTGGAAGGAAGATCTTTGGCTGATACAGTGGTTTTTTTGCCATTTAGAAGCCATTCAAGACATTCCTGTTCAGCTCCTTTCAATTTCTTTGTAAGTGTAGCTGGAAAAGCAGAAATGAGGCAGTCACTTTTTTTAGTCAAGAGCTGCAGTGTAGTTGTTGCACATAAATAAACAACAGGCATTTTTCACAGGATTAGGAAACCTGGCTTGACTTAAAGGCCTTAATACAGGAGGTGGGGCTGCTTTTGAGTATTTGCCGTTTGTTTTCTTTAAGTAAAGACAGGTAGTAGCTAAACCAAGAGCATCATTTAAAAATGCAGTTCCAGGCACTGAGTGCATGGCTGTTCTCCAAGGAAATAATAAGATTTATGAAAGGAAGGGAAAGAAATGAGTCATGTTTAACAAATTTTTCTTTTATTAATGCCCCTCTCTAACCTTACTAATGGGTACTCAGTCTCTCCTTGCTCAGTATACTTGGCACTTTTTTTTATTATTGTTATTATTTGTTGGGTTTCACTCGTGAGTCGTTCCTTTTACTTATTTTAAACTAACAAACCAAAAGGGGAAAAAAAAAAAAAGAAAAAAAAAAAGATTGTGCAATGTTCTGGATAACAGGAAGAAAGTCAATGACAGCTGAGCAGCTTCCAACTTCACTGTAGTTCTATTGATCAAAACTGTCCTCTGTAATAAGAGTATTTCAGCTTTTGAGAATGAAAACCAGAGAATCTCCCACCGACCCCAAGTCTCTGTTGTGAGAGCAGGGAGCTAAAAGCAGAGTCTTAACATGATGTGTGGATGACATCTGTCTGGTTTTCCTAAAACCTACAGCTACAGTGCCATAGAACTGTGTATGAACGTCGGAAAGTCACGTGGATAGAGGCAAAACCTGTTTTATGGCAAAATGGTCTTCTTTCCTTCCATTGGTACGCATGAAAAGAAAATGCAGCAGCATTTCTTATGAGAAATCCAATGGATCATCCATCCAGAGGAGCTCTCACACAAGCTTCCTACCTGTTGTTGCATTTCTCAGGCCCTTTTGTTTCTGAATGGTTCTATGCATCTGTCGTTCAGACAAGGATGA